ATGTGTGTGTACCGGATGAGAAAAAAATCATGTATTTAAATACGTTTTTTTTTTTGTTCCCGCTATTGCATATGAAACATAAAACGAAAACAAGGAATTTTTTTCATTGCGTGCATGTGTTTTTAACTCTATTATCTATAAGACACACACACATATAAATATATATGTATGCATTCTCGATTCTCTCTCTCTCTGTTTTTGATACTTTAATGTGTATGTTTATGAATATTGTACGGTTTTTTGATGTTTGATAGGAGAGAAGAGTGTTTGACAACTTTATGAGATAATGTTTAAGTGTGCCATCAAAAAAAAAAAAAAATTTCATGAAAAAATAATGAAAATATGAATAGAAACAACAATAAATATATTAACATCCATCTTGCAGATGATAACATCATAAATTAATCTTTTCTTTTTTTCGTTTTGCTTGATGTTTTTTATTCTTTACCTTCTAGAACATGACTGCTAAACCATTGTTTAATATTAGTATGTAATTATTTGTATTTATTGAGTCATATTTATAATTATTCTTAGATGAACCGGTATTTGCCTTGCATCAAGGAAAAACATACAAGGCTAAGGTTGGTATAGTTATTTTTCATTTGAAGAAAAGAAAAAAAAAGACGATAATTCTCGTGATTGACATTGGATCGGATATTTAAAAATCTTCATGTCATTATTTATTTCCGAAAGAATGACAATAGTAACTTTCTAGTTTGATAATTCTTATATTTATAATCTTGTCTTGTTCTATAAAAAATAATTCTTAATTTGTTTTACTATGAACTGCCGTTCTCTGTAATTAAATATAACAATAGAACGAAGAATCTAAAAAAAAGAAAGAAATCAGATGCAATTATAATTTTTATGACGAATAATTATATGAAGGATATTCAGAAAGTTACTAGACCAGAAAAAATTTGAATATCCCTACCGTATGTTGAATGGAGTGTTCATAGCTCAAATTCATTAGAGAAATGTTGGCAAAAATTGTTCGAAAATATTAATAACTGACTTTAACAAGGAATTAGAATTTTTACGCAAGTTATAAAAAACAACAACAACATATTTATTCTCTTAACGAAGAATAAATGACATCTAATTTTTACGATTGATTCTCTACGATGGTATTGTTTGGTCTCGTATTTATTTTTCCTATAGATATGTCTTGTTATTCAGTGTATCTTGAGAGCTTTGGCTGTCAACAAACAAGAGTTTGTTGATAAAATTACAACATTCGTCTTTTATAACTCGTGCAAAATTTCACTTCTTCGTTAAAGTTAGTTGTAATTACTGGAAAACCATTTTTGACGACATCTCACTTATGAAATACATAAATTATGAAGACTTCTTTATAAATGGTTAAAATATGGCGAAGGTATTTAAAATTTTTCTTTGTCTAATAACATTTTGGAAATCTTATCTAGAACGTGAGTTCATAATATAATGTTTTCTACTTACGATATATTAAGCTACTTTTGGTCGCAGAAGTATACTCCATAGAAAGTTTCAGGAAAATTTCTCTCTTTATCTTCTAATATTACAAGCATTACTCTGTATTTCTTCAATATTTGATCGTTCTTCATCTGATATCGATATCATCAAATTTCGATGAGACCTTTTAACTTCTGTTTTTGTGAAATTTGACTCCATTCTTCAAGAAAATTGAAAAGATGATCGAGAAGAGTTTGAAAATGATGTACGACGTGACAAATTTGTATTATTAAAATAATGACAAAACATTGAATAAATAGAGATCATTATTTTCAATCTAAAACAATAGGAAAGTAAATTCTTTGAACATTTGTACCTACATTAATAAATTTTGAAGTAAAATTCAAATGAGAAGCTTTGTCGTAAATTGAATTTGAAACTATTTTGTTCTTTTCCATTTTGTCAAGATTCTTGAATCAAAACTTGATGAAGACACAAATGAATGGCAATATTATATTCATTATGATGGTTGGAATAAGAAGTAAATTTTCTTGAAATTTTTATTTCTAAATTATTTATTTTACTAATAGATGGGATACATGGGCTCAAGCTGATGTTTTACAAAAACGAACAGAGAAAACTGAAGAATTATTTAATAAAATGAATTCTACAATGTAAAAAAATGAACTTTATAATTCAATAAAGATCTTATTTATTTTTGGTATATTTTTTTAATATTAAAATAGAAAAAAAACTGATTCGAAAAGATCCTCTAGCAATAAACCAACTAATAAACGTTCAACAATATCACCAGGTGATACAAGTTTACAAATACAAATAAATGCAGCTGATGATAGTCATGATTCATCGTCAACTACGGCTACTTCAAGTAAATTATAAATTTGATTTTTTTTTTCGAAATTTTTACTTTTCTTTTTCTTGCTTGATAAATTTTTTTTAGAAGAAAATAATAAACGAACACGAAAACGACAACGTACAGATTCGGTAGAAAAACTGAAAACATTTGAAAATAAAGTTGTTATTGAAATAAAATTATCCGATGAAATAAAAATATGTCTTTCGCATGACTGGCATTTGATAAATAATGAACATAAAGTATAAATTCTTTTTTAATCAACTAAACCAAAAAAGATATGACCTTTGTCGATTATAGCTCTTAATTATTCCTTGTCAACCTACGGTTGAAGAAATTACTAATCTTTATCGTCAATCGAAATCAAATAAACAAAAACCAATTGAAGCGTAAGTCGAATTTTAAGATATTCAATCAAGATTATTTCATAGACAATAACTCTGTTGATGAAAATCAAAATCTTTCTACAGACTTCATGATTCAAAGAATGAAGATTAGAAATAGATAATTTTAAGGAAGACTTACGAAACCTATAGATCGATTCATTAACTTCTCAAATAAATTCTTTATATACTGAAAGATGACTCAAACAAAGAATCTTAAAATAAGAAGTTTTTATAAATTGTTAATAAAATGAATATTTTAATATCTAACATAATATTAAAAGTAAAGAAAGTTAATTTTCTATCTAAGAATTGATGATTCTTTCAGTCAGATTACTTTTGTTTTTTATTTTTTACTTTAGCGAACATACAAATCATTTTGCTGAAAGTATTATTACGTATTTTGATACGGCTTTGTCAACAATGCTTTTATATGCTGTCGAACGAGCACAATATAAAGAGGTCAAATATTTATTTTATTTTTTTAAACTAACTAAAGAAAAAATATTGATCTTTTAGATTCAACAAAGTCATGGACTTGGTGATAAAGTACAACCATCAAGTGTTTATGGCATTGTACATTTATTGCGTTTAATGAGTTCGTATATGAGTATTAAAATTATTTAAAATAATATTCGTATGTATTTTAGGTCAATTAGGTTCAATATTAGCTTATTCGCCATTGGAACAAACTGAAGTTGATTTTTTACTTGTTCATATTGATGATTTTAATAGGTAAAAAAAAATTCTCTTTTTTATTTCTATTTGTTTGTTTGTAGATTTTTGGAAAAAAATATTAAAACTTGGGTTAATGATGAGCATTATCAAATACCGCTGGCGGCACCAATTCAATAATACAATGAACTTGACTGGATCAAAACATAAAACTATCTATGAAATTATATAATATATATAGACATTAATTCCGTTTCTATTCATTACTCTCTTTTGTCTGCATATTGTGTACAGTTATGCTTATCCGAAAGATCGGAAAGAGCATAAGACTTAAGTTTATCTGCGTTTATGTGTTGTTGTGTATATATAAATGTATTGTATATGTACGAAAAACGATTCAAGTTGTGTAATCAATCACAATTTATCGTGTATTAGTATTTTTCTTCTTGTATTTTGTTTCGTTCTTCCTTTTACTTGTACGAAGTTCAAATTGAGGTCATCATTACAGTACATATGGAATTATCCCTTTTCCTTTTCTTCCTCTTCGTCTTTGGGTTCACACTCTATGATGGATGAACGAGTAAAAAGAAAGAAAAAAGCGCAAGAAAAAAAGGCTCAATGTAGTAGTAATAATTCTATTGACTAGCATCATTACCATTTGCTATGAAAAAGAATAGAAGAGTCTAGTGGTTGGATAAAAATCTTGAAATATTTCTATTCCAGAACTCTCTTAATGGAACAATACTTTCTCTTCTCTTCTATTTGATTGTCATTCAATTCTTTTTTTTCGTTTTCTTGTTGAGAAATCGACAATGTGGAAGATAATGATGAATGCCTTGAAGTGACATTATTCGCTTAAATAAACATTGATTGACGTAAGTTATGTCTGTTTACTGAACAATAAAATAATATGTAAAACACAGCAAGATATTCAGTGAATAAATGCTATTATCAAACAGACTTTTTAGCCTTCAGTGATCTATTGCTAGATGATTGCTTTATATGCTAACACAGACACAGTACATGATGACTGACATGCACATATACCATTTGATTCTCTAAGGAACAAGAAATAGGAAATCATTCTGTTTCTTTTTCTATCTTTATCGCTTCCAATAGATATTATGATTCTTTATGATTATTGAAAAGTTGATTTATTATTTATCAGGAAAAACAGAGAGTACGTAAAATAAGAATATTTTGTTTTTCAGTTTTTTCTTATTATTTATATTGATAAGAATTATCAAAATAGATGAAAAATTAAAAAAACAGCTGCTAATATGATACAATTATTTTATTTATTTTTGCCATTTGTTGTTTTATATTGTTAGAAGTTAATGTCGAATGTCATGTAGATTAATCTTATTTCTTTCTTGATTCATTTATTTATGCAAGCATGTCACAAAAATAACTATTCTTTTATTCGTCTTTTGACTCGATAGTTATATCTGTTATATATATATATATATATCGATTCTTTCTATCATCTTTTCATTTTATTTCTTTTTTGTTTTGCATTCTTTTCTTGCTTGGCTTGACGTCAGACTTCGACCGAGAAGGAAGATAAAATTAATTTTTATTCTTGCCTATCTATTCATTTAGTTTTTAGACTTTTAGACACTTGAATATAAAAAATGAATCATTGTGTCCGTTTATTATTACTTTTTGCTCCTTCATTAATTGGTCTTGGTTTACTTGGAATAGCATTTGCTACAAATTGGTGGACCATTCCTTTAGAAACAGTAAATATTTCATTATGATTTTTTTGCTATTTAATTTTTTGTTTATTAATATTTAGAATATACCTAAAGAAGATTCCTTAAAAATCTCATCAAGTGATGAACGAATATATTCAACATTAATTCGTATACCAATTTCACGTGGTTTATTAACTGAATGCATTGCATATCGAAATGTAAAAGTACTCATATCAAATGGATATGATTTTCGAGCAGAATTATCTCATGACAAAGCTATGAAATTAGCAAATGAAAGTTGTGGAAATAATCAATTTACTTGTGAAACAGGTTTTGCTATTGTACGTCCATTAACACGTTGTATTGATCGTCGACAACAATGTAATCGTATTATTGATTGTGAAGATCAAAGTGATGAAATATCTTGTGTTAAAAATTTTAATACACATGATAATGAATTTTTCGATTGTCCTACTGGTTATTCTAGATGTCAAGATGGAAAATCATGTTATAGAAAAACTGAACAAACATGTGGTATGTAGAAATTTATTTGATTGGAAAGATTTTATGTCATATGATTTGTTCTTTCTTTTTTTTTTCTAGATGGAGTTTTTAATTGTATGGATAAATCGGATGAAGAAAATTGTAATGCAGAAAAATGTCAACAAAATAAACATGTTTATTGTCCTCGAGAAGGTAGATGTGCACGAAAAGAAAATTCTAAACGGTATTATTTTAATGATTTATTTAATTTATAAAATTATATTTTTGTTTATTTATTTTAAAGATGTGATGGAATTATTGATTGTGCAGATAATTCTGATGAAGAAAATTGTTTACAATGTAATGGAGATCCATCAGTGTTTTTGTGTGATTCAAAATGTAAGTTAAACTAGAATATAGAGTCTAGCAAAAGTCAACTGTGAAATAAAACTATAATAATTCTTCAACGGTTAACATGAACTTTTCATCATTTCATAGAATAATATTCTTCAAAGTTTTATTTTATGAAATGATGAAAAGTTCATATTAACCGTTGAAGAATTATTTATAGTTTTAATTCAAATCTGATTTTTATAAGATCCTGTATTATTTAAGAACTTTTAAGTTAAAATAAATTAATTTGTTGAAGGTTTTCCTGGTGAATATCGTTGTGACGGTATTGTTCACTGTTCTGATCTTCGTGATGAAAGTGATTGTCAGGATTATACAACGACATCAAATTATCAAAGAAAACTTTATTATAATGATCAATCTTGTATGGAACAACGTTTTAATCCATTTCGTATTAATCCACCAAATGATTCAACAATAGAATCATATTCAAATCCAAATCAACGTCTTCAATATATTCATTTAATTTATTATTTACAATTAATTGTTGTTTATGGTATTGTTGGTGGATTAATATTTCTTTTATTAGCTGTTATATCATTATTTTTTTTTGGTTGTTGTCGTCATAATTGTATAAGTGTACCATTTTATTTTTATGGTTTTTGGATGTTATTAGCATGGTTATTTATATTAACCGCTTTAATTTCATTTGTATTTATATGGTTATGGCAAAAACAAACGGTATTAGATTATGAAAAAACTTTACCATTAGAAATAATGATACATGAAAGAAATCCAATATTACGACATATTGAATTTTTTGGTTTAAGTTTTTGGTTAGCATGTGGATCTGCATTAGCAACATTTATTGGTTTATTGTTATCATATTGTGTTTGTTGTACACTTGGTTCATCACGAGCTGATGATAAAGAATATGAAATAATGCAAATGCATAATTATTGAAAACATTAAAAAAAAAAAGCAGAAAAAAAAAAGATTTTTTTATTGTCTATTTGTTGATGTTGTTCTTTGTTATGTAGAATAGTGCGAGAAAAACATTTCTTGCTCTTTTATCATAATATCATTTTATATCGAAGCTCAACTTCAACACATTTTTCTTTTCTTTTGTTCTCTGTTACTCTAGTCATGTATATGTGGGTTTTTTTGTTGTCGTGTGTGTCTCTATCCGTTTATTATATATTCTATGTATAAATTTATTACCTCTACTTTATATAAACAATTAGCGATTAAAACCAAAAACAAAAAATCAAAATAAAATAAGATTCTTTTCCTTTTTTTTTTGTCGTGTATATTGAATAGGTTTAGACATCGTATATACAAAACTGTAATGGAAATTTTTCCAACACATGATAGTTATCTTGCAGAGTATTTGTCTAAACTAATAAATAAAATTAATTTGACGACTTTTTAAAAGATCAAAAACAAGATGTACGTGAGATACGATATTTTTATTTGAAAATAATAAAGTAAACGAGTAGAAATGGGAATTTATTGTTAAAGTCAGATTTATTGTACTAAAACTCATTGTTGGATATAGCCAAACGACTACAGTTATTCGTATTATGTTTTCGAATATCAACAGATAGAAAAAAACAAACAGTGAAGAAAAAAATGATTGAATGGATAAATTAATAGAAACACAGGTTGAATTTTAGTGAAAAAATAAATTCGAAACAATTATTAAATATTTCACAAGGAATATTGAATCATCAACGGGATTTTCAAACAATATCTAGACGAGAAATACTCTTCAGAAATTTCCACTGCTGTAATCAAAAGTATTTAGGATATACCCACAGCGATGATCATGATACTATGATACCGTAAAAGAAAAATGAGGACAATCTGTTTCTCTATAAAGGATGTCTCATAATAATTGAGAGATGAATCATTAGTGATATTTTTCATACTTTTTTCTTGACGTAGAAGACTAAAATTTTTATCATATGCGTATCTAATTATGATCTTTAAATTCTCAAAGTTTCAGCTCTCTAGCTAAAACCAGGACTGAAATGCATCAACAAAGCTGAAGTCTGGTATGTGAACGACCATTAGAAGAAAAGGAGGATTGAGGAGGATTTTTGGTAAAAACTTTTTGGAGAATAGGCTTTAGAAAAAGAGGAAGAAAGGAGGACATTATTTTTTTGCTATAAAAAGGCATTTTAGCACTTCAGATGCATTAGTGTGCTTGAACACGATAACACGAGGAACCCACTAAAAGTTACAATAGATTATACATGAATTTCTCAACACCATCCTCAAAACAAAGCTGTGATATGTGTCGAGAAAGTAGTTCACTCAATTAGACAGCCATGCTGAAGAGGACAAAATTTTATTCTGAAACAAATAATATCCACTTATTACTTATCTCTGTTTAAATGGGCCTGTACATCTGCAGAATACAGTTTATTTCAATGATTCTATGGTGTTGAATTGCAAAACTAATCAAATCAACTAAACTCTTTTGCGTAAAAGTCAACATAAGCTTAACAATTTACGAAAAATGTTTCCTTTTGAACAATGAAAATGCATCAAAGATGCTTTTATCGGCATTTCATGTATGTTTTTCGCTTAGGAAGAGATTGATGTAAATGACTGATAATATTGCAAAAACTTTTTAAGCGTATCTTCACGGTTAAAAAGCAACGTTTCTTCATTTAGCTATTAAAATTTATATCAATTTTTACGTGGAACAAAAAATAATGAATTAAGGTTGATTTAATTGCGCAGCTGCTACTTGTCATAGACTTGAGTTTCATGCATGATATATTCTTCGTTCAGGATTTGAAATATAGTCATGTCAGCAGTGCCTGTGGACTTAAAAAAGCACAATTTTTGAATTAAATTGATGAAAATATTCATGTGAGTCAATGAAATTGAAATAGATAAACTTTTATCTTCCTTCCTCATTTTAATGCAATTGTTTTGATTGTTTCAGTCCCTGAGTATTGTCTCGCTATACAAATATACCTGTGTTCGCTCAGCAAAATTCAAAATATCTGTTAGGGTGCACTATTAGCATCCTACCATAGAGGTCATTGAAATATCACTAGGAGTTTGGCATACAACAGTAAAATCAACTAGAATTAGGATTGCAGGAATCAGATTTTGTGTATTCGTGGAATAGATTATTGCACAAACATATACACGCTTTTTCGGAGAACATCCAATTGCTAAAAATTCATGAAAGGACAGTAAGTCCACTTTGCTCTCATTACTCGTTTTTTGCAATCAACAATACTGCTCCTGATTATAATTCATCGTAGAATGTTCATCTGTTACTTAGCAAACTTTCTTTCCTGAAGGTTGCCTTGCCTTCACAATAATAAAAAAAAACATGTCACATCATCACATTCATATATAGCAAAAGAATTGTTCCCAAAAGCTAGGATACTATAATACCAACCTGTTTTGTAGTAATAAAATTATGATATATGTAGAGTTTTTCATTAGATCTGTTCAAGTAATACTATTCTGCAGAATTCTGTTGTTGATTGAAGGACATTTTCAATTATATCAGGATTGGAAAGTATGAAGAAAGATAACTTCATCATAAAGTTCGCGAATTTTGACTAGATTAGATGATGCATCGGCTGAGTTTTGAAAGAAAAGCAGCAGAAAGGAGGAAAAGGAGGAGATTCTTATGAAAAGGAGATGAGGGAGGAGACTTTTTGTAAAAAAAGAAGGAAAAGGAGGAGCATTCACATGCCAGGCTGAAGTGTATGATTTTTCGTACTAGATTTTGCATCATCATTATTTCTTGACTATTGGTATTGATAAACACCGGATGAAAAAAGATTTTACAAATCAGGCTTTTTTTCTTACAAACGTATATTATAATAAAATTCAATGTGTATATACGTGCTTTCTGTTACTGATTGTGATTAATAAGTTATTTCATCTATTATTTTTATACATTTTTTGTTTTGCAAAATTTCCTTCATTCAGCTGGATTTTCTTTTTCTAATTTTAATGATGTATCAAACGTTTTTCTGCGAACTTTTTTGTTCAGTAAGCCCCATTTATTTTTCCGTTTTTCATACATCAGTAAATTTAGCATGACTATCTGCCGATTCTATATGTTCATTAAATAATTGTACTGGAAACTGTGGGACCAATAGTCCATGCTATTTTGAGACAATTTAAATTCAATACAAACCAATTACAATGTTTTCTGATTTCTTCAGTGATGGGTGTTTGAGATAAAGTTTGTTATTAAGCCCAAAAAGATAATAGATAAAAAATGCATTCGTATATTATTAAAATAATGCTTAGCCGCTCTGTAGCGATCGACTACGTAGTAAAAATATTATAAAAATCTAGTACAATAATTTACGTATGTTAATCTTGTGTGTATGCATTTCTGCATTAGTTTTAGATAGAGAACTGAAACATTGAACCATCAAAGATCTTAGTTAGATACATATGACAAAAATATCAACCTTATACGTCAAAAAAATGTATGCAAAATGTTGCTGACAATTTATTATCAGTTATCCTGGGACATTCTTTATACTCATTGCACAAACAATGATCTCTATTCATTCAAGATTTTATCATTATTGAAATGATATCATAATAATTTTAATTTTAAAAATCATTATTAAGAGAGCAATAGATTTATGGGATAGTTTTAAAAGTTGTTTCTATTACAACTTTATTCAGATTGTATATCATCTTCAAATTCTTCTCGATCTTCCATTTCAATGATCTTTCAATTGTCTTGAAGGATATGAAGTTAGCTGACACAAAAACAGAATATTATTAGTTCATTATGAATAACTTTTACTTGAATATAAAATCCGATACGAACTTTTATATGACATTAAAGAGAATTATCCATATCCATCTAAAACAGAGGTAACTAGATTTAATTAGAATTTGATAATTTTGATATCAGATAAAGAATGATGAGATATTGTAGAAATATAGAGTACTGTTTATAGTATAAGAACATAAGGAGAGAACTTCTTCTGAAATTTTCTGTGATATTCTCATCTGGTTAGTCGCTAATACTCTCGTTAGATTCTAAGTACGACTGCCGAAAAGTATGAATGTCAACATTAGAAATGCCGAAAGTGAAAATGTTTAAAGCAAAAATATCGAAAGCTTCAATAGAAATATTTGCACATTTCTTTGTTGTGCCAATTGAATAAATCAACGAGTGAAGTTGAATCAAGTTTTATTTATTAGGAAAAAAAATGAAAGACAAGTAAAAAGAATCTTGAGGATGAGGTTAATCATATAATTCTATCGTCAGATTCATATCCTCTCATTATCAATCAAATATTAATGGTATAGTTTTCACAGATTTATTGGTTATAGAAAAAAATGAATAAATAAACAATGTTTCTTCTAGATAAAAAGAATAACTTTTGATTAAGCCTGAAAATGTAGAGATGTATACTCAACAATAGAAATAATGATTAAAGATAAGTACACATGCATGAAAAATAAGTAAAGTGACTGTTTCTAGCCTTATAAAAACTGTATTTTTTTTAGTATGCTTCATTTCATTTATCTTCTCATCGAAAGACTAACGTGCAAAACGATCATATTAGTGTTGAGCAAGTAGAAGAAGTTTTGAAAAATGTTTTTAATTGAATTTGATCTTAGTATTTAACCATCTTTCTCTAACAAGGAGTAGTCTGTTTAATAATGGCACTTGACTAATAGTGTCAGCTACGGTTCAAAGCGTGTTAATTACATTAGTATGAAAGGGTTCTTATTTGACTTGGTTACGTTTTGATATTTTAAGAATAAGTTTCAATATTCACTTGAAACAGTTATGTTATATATAAGTAAGAGATAAAATAGGCTAGAAAAGAAGAGAGATACTTTGATCACTTAGCGGAGAGACATCATACAAATGTAAGAATATTTTAGAATTTATAAAGCGTAGAGAGGGTAATGTTAGTCTCTCTAATACTTAAAAGGACATT